GGCAGCATAAACTTTGATGCTTTACAATGAAGATAATGTGTTTAGATAATATGCAGCATGAATTTTCAGTTTTTTGTTGGGTTTTTTTCTTTGAGGAGAGTTTTTGAGGAGGCATACTCATCAAAACTTTAAAAACTTGGCAAACAGTGGCAAATGCTCTATCGTCACCAACCAGTAAGGAGATGAACAAACAGAGGGCGGTTCTTCTTGTTTACATGCCGATTCCACACATAAAAACCCTTCTATGATAAATTCTGGTCATTTTTTTATTTGCAGTGAGTAACAGTGTCTCACATTCTAAGTAAAGAGGTGAAAGTAAAATTTTTATCTCTCTAATGTAACAAAATAAAAGTAAAAGTTCAAATTAAAACATCACAGATCATCTAAAAAATTACCTAACTCTTGTACTGAAGTAAATATACTTAGTTACTTTACACCTGGTTACACAGACATTTTGCAGGGAGGGCCATGAGTACACCTTGTTGTTTCATCTGTGCTATACACTGGAAAAAATCAAAATATAGATAAGTCATTTTTTCTTGAAATAAGTGCATTTGTTCTTGGATTAAGGAGGTAAAAGAGACATTTTGCCAATGGAACAAGACAACTTCCACTTAAAATAAGAAAACACAATTGCATTGTCTTATTTCAAGTGCATATTATCTAATTATCTTATTTTAAAAGTAAAAATACTCATTCCATTGGAAAAGTATCTGATTTGCCTACTCAACGTAAGGGTAAATACAATTCATTTAGGAAATTTTAACTTATTTCTAGATCGTTTAAAACAAACTAGAAATAAGTAGAAATGTCTTAAGTGTATTTACCATTAATTTGAGTAGGTAAATGAGATGATTTGCCAATGGAATGAGTATTTTCACTCTTAAAATAAGATATTTAGATAAAATTAACTTAAAATAAGACAAAATAAGACAATGCAATTGTGTTTTCCATTGGCAAAATTTCTTTTTTATCACCTCAATTCAAGAACAAATGCACCTATTTTAAGAAAAAAATGATTTTTCTAGATTTAAATTTTTTCCAGTGTACATGTTTATATGGCTTGTAGCTAGGGGTGTGCAAAATAATCGTCATGATGATGCATCTTGATTCTAATTTTCGTGATCTACTGCATCGATTCTTGATGCCAAGAATCGATTATTAATTTAAAAAAATGAATAAATAAAAT